TTATTGATATAAAGTTTATTTCTTCTACCATAATATCGAGTACTGTTTTATTAACACCACCACTATTATACCCTAGTTGTCTTAGTCCACCAAACACCACCTAAGTATATGTACGCTCACATATATATATATATATATATATATATATATATATAGCTAAACCTAGAGAGCCAGACAAACCTACCAAGGTTTCACCTTAGCGGGTCGTCAGGGAAGGCTGGCTAACAAGGTAAAAAAAGATAACGGAATATATAGTCAATAAACAAAAAAAAACATAACGACGTCACCCCCCAAAAAACAAACAACCAAGAGGGTCGGGAATACTCGCATCGGGGTTTTTTTCTTTGGGCCTTGAATTCGTATGCTGGACGATTATTTTCGGTTAACGTACATGTTCTTGGTTCTTTCTTTTTTTAATACTTTTTTTTTCCCTTTGGTATTGGCTTGTTTATTTACAAAATGAATATACGGAAGGTTTTCCGACCGAGTATAGTTTCTTATAAGATTTCTATAAGATTTATATATATATATATATATATATATATATATATATATATATATATATATATATATATATATATATGAATACATGTATATTAAAGATCTGAAAGAAATAACTGAAAAATATCACCCAGAAACAACCATACTTAACGATAAACTAAAGTAAATAATATATTATCATATGTGTGTGTGTGTGTGTGAGAGAGAGAGGGGGGGAGAGAACTTTCACACGTGCACGCATTCCATCCTCATGTCCACAAAATGACGATTAATTAAATATTTTTTTAAATCTTCAGCTTTAAAGAAAAAGAAAAGAAATGTTTTTTGGTTCTAACCAAATGAGTCTTAGAGTTGCTTTTCAGTCCGACAACTAATCCAATTGCATTTCTTATGAAGAGTTTCCAGTGAAATTTCCAATGATCGAATTTATCGACTCTTATGTTGACATGTGGACGCGTAATACTGTAAATGCGTAATCGATTCGGAATCCTGATGCACTAAATCGGGGCTATTCGAATTAATGTTGCATTTTCAAGTCCACTAAATTGGTTTAACAGTATCAACATGGTTGGTAGGAGATTTTTTTTTTTTTTTAATTTTCTGTATCCGATTATAAAACGTTAACTTCTACATATGAAATACGTACACGCGCACACACACGCACGCGCGCACACACACACACACACACACTCACGCATGCGCGCGCGCACACACTCACACACACACATATTAGTTAGAATTAAATCGTCTTAAATTCATATACTGACAGAAAATAGAATTAATTTGGGACAAACCATATATATATATATATATATATATATATATATATATATATATATATATATATATATATATATATGACAAACTGGAAAGGTTTATTGTGATGTGTTTCATTCGACTCGTGATAAAACGCGTCACAAAAACCGTTCCAGTTTGTCACTTTATTTCTAAGTACTGTTTGTTGGTATATAAAATTTAACAGAAGTGTACATTGTTATATCATATTATATATATATATATATATATATATATATATATATATATATATATATATATATATATATATATATAAATATATATGGATATAAATCCGACAGTATGAAAAAAAAATATATACGGAAAAAAACAAAAATCCTTATATACAATTATGCTGTTTTAATGTTAAATGTTATAATTTCAGACGTTTATGTCCTGAAGATGGTTTATTAGACCGAAAAGTCCGACGTTGACACATTAACAATAAAACAGCATAATTGTATTAAGGAATTTTGTTTGTTTTTTTCCGTATATATTTTTTCTTCATACTGTCGGATTTATATCCATATTTGTTTACATATATATATATATATATATATATATATATATAAAGATTTATAATGAATTAAATAATGGATTTTTAAGCCGAGAGTATTTCTTTTTTTATAAACGTTGTATTTAATGAACACGTTTGAGTAGATATCTTTTTTAATTTTTTAAGAGAGAAATTGAGGTCTACCGGCTTAAAGACCGAAAGTCTTATTAAATAAAATGGGATTTCTCAAACGGATAAAGTAATACAGGTTTTTCTCCAACCTGAAGGTGGAGACATATTTTCTTTAATATGACTTTCGATCTCTAGGCCGGTAAACATTAATTTAGTGTTTAAAAAATACCCATTATATATAACGTTTATAGCAAGACACACACACACATATATTTATAAATACACACATATATATATATATATATATATATATACAACACATATATATGTGTGTATATCTATGTATATATATATATACATATATATGTGTATGTATATATATGCATGCATACACACACATATATATATATATATATATATATATATATATATATATATATATATATATATATATATCTACATCTCTGTGTGTTTTTTTGTCTGTGTATGTGCGTTCTCGTATGTGCTTATTTTTCTGTAAAATTTTACCTGTATATCATTAAGTAGATGTATCTATCTATATATGTATTTATGTATGTGTGCGTATAAATATGTTTATAAATGTTTATCAATATATATGTAAAGGCATATATATATATATATATATATATATATATATATATACGTACGAATATGCAGTTATCTATCAACACATGCATATGTGTTCGACCGTTCTGTATAGATATTTT